TTAACGCGAGTGTCGAAATGCGATATCGTATTCGGCATTTAATCGCGCCAAGGATACGCGTGTACTCAGACTCGGAGTGTATTGTACCGATGACAATGCGTCGGCTATAGCGTGCTGCTTTCGTCTTACTCATCGACGGAAGTCGCCGTTCTTAATTGTTATGCGCGACAAGATGCGCAGAGCTTTGGTCGGTTAACCACCTCGTGGCATTGAAAGTGTTAGAAACTTTCTATGGAAACATTGAATGTTTTGATTTTGACGTAATTCAAACAATAGGACGAACTGAATTTTAGTCTATTCTTCTTTATCAATTTTCTAAATTTATCACTGCATATTGAAGCTTTTATAAAAGTTGAGATTTACGATTTTTTTTCATCAATTTTTCATATAAATTGATGTCTGCAATATCGCGCAAATTGTTGAAGAGTAATTTGCTGGCGAGAAGGAGAATTATAACACCTTTTCTGCGCAAGGCCACGCATACGGCACGTCGACAAGATAATTATTGCAAAAGCTGTTTCAACAGGGACGATCATCTAGTTGCGCATCGCGACGAGGTTGTATGCGTTGTACGCGTCGTTACGCATGCGGTCGTTGGGAGTGAAAGATTACGATACATGCGACACGAAGTCGCCCTTGTGTGCGATTCGATATGCTACCACAGCCGCGCATCGTTTGCAATCGCTTCTTGCAGTTGTGCTTATTTGCGAAGCATATTTTCGAAAGTCTACGGAAGATTTGCGAGAGCTGCGAAGAATAATGTATGCTTGAATTTTCATGCGGAAAAAGTTTCAATACTCACGATAAGAGGAAAGTTGCGGAAGACGCGAGAAGAGCGTGAGTATGCAATAACAAGACGCTCGCATATGACCGATATTTGAAATAGATGATGAGAATCAATCATTAGAGATCGCGGATACCGATCTAGCGATAATTCAACGACAAATACGAAATGCAAGGAGCACATTTCGTATGCGGTCTCCATTAATATTCCTTCGATAAGACACACGAGGCAGTTACTCTCACGTCTCGGAGTCATAAAGGCGATTCGACGACGAATTTTATTGGCTCGTAAATCGGATGACGATCTCGCTGTCTAGCGTCACGTCATCGGTTCGCTTCGCTCGACCGTGAAAATTCATCGGAAAAGAACTTTACGACAAGAATTGTTCATCGGAATACAAATCGGGAGACAAGTATCTGTGTTATCGCGCCCTGCGCGCGCTCGCGATCTGTTACAATAATTTGCTGAGGCCGACGAGTGTTATGCAGGTCCATTCCTCTCTCCGCTAGCCGCCGAAGACGCGTAAAGGTCAACATCGACATAAAGGCCTCCACGGACGCTCCACATCACTGTGCCCGTTGCCATTTCTGGCAAATGAATGCTCTCCATTGCGAGGACCACAAATCGCGAGCGAGATATACTAGGACTGTTAAAGGACACAAGTCGGTGAAGTACTAATACAGAATATTCGACGCGTACAAAGAGAGAGGCTGCAAGCAGATATTGCAACATAAACAAAATCTCGTAACGTATGTAGATAGTTTCAGGATTAATAAGTTGAATTCTCTTGTACAGTTTTTTTTATTAGATTAGATCTTTTGCCTCGTTGATACTTTTCTAATATCTTACGTAACGCTACGCGAATAGCAAGCTTATTAACGAATGATTATCTTCTCTTACTTTCTTTCTTATGAAATTAACAGCTAACGAGAAAGGCATGTTCGCTAATATCTAATGAACCTTAACGGAAATTTCTGCTATAGAAAGCTTTGATATCAGATCGTAGTAACTGCGAGTATGCGTTGAATAATTATTTACACATACACGCGAAATATTTGTATTTTTAAATGTGATATTTTTTCATATACTCGGAATTGCTGGAATAGAAGGATATTTTAAGTTAAATTATATTACACAATTATGCTAACTATCTAGATAGAAATATTGGTAGATTGAGCAAAAATTCTGCCAACATTGTTAACATTTTGCTTTTACTAGGTATTTTAAGACATTCTGATTGATGATTTTAAAAATAAAAGTAAAACTTGATTTGCCTTATAAAAATGTGTAAATTTTAAAGAATTTGAAATTAATATTAAATTACCATTGTTGCATTTTTGAAGAAAAGTATAATTTGTTATATTATTATACTTTCTAAAATGGACATAATATATACAGTGCAAAAATAAAAACGTAATTGCCTTGCGTTAGCACAAGATTTTCTTTTGCCGCAGTGAGCGAATAATCCACTGTAGGCAACACAGGCATTGTTGCCTCTTTGTGCGCATACCGTTACAGATATTATACTCTGGAGCGCGGTGTGTGCGTGGCGTCGCCCATGGCGAGTGCTCCGCGATCGACTTGATGAAACGAAAGGAAGCGATTGTTCTAAGAGAGGAGCGAGCGCGAGCGCGTTTTTATCCATCCCTGCTCTTTCACCTCGATCCTTCCTCTCGCCTGTTGCTCGCGTTCAATGGGCTGGGATTCAGAGCAGCGGGGAAAGGCGGTGATCCCGACCAGTTGCCAGGAGGAAGAGCGAACTTGTAAAATCACGCGGAGGTCACTCGGAGCACGCGAACTGGCGCGCATGCCGCGCGAACGGTCTCGATACGCACCACCACCCGCTGTCGCTTGTTCATGATGCGCCTTGTCCTCGACTTCTCTCGCCATATCGAGAGGTAAACGCACGCCTCGAGATATCTCGCTGTGTGCATTCTGTGATCCACTGAACTGCGGGACGCGACGGATAATACATAACGTTTCCCAAAGGCGATGCCGTAAAGAAAATATTATACGCGACTAGCACAATTGCCGCGAATGAGTTAATTTTAACGATTTGTAAATATGAAATTTTTTTGAAACTTTACAAAAGAGATCTGTAGACTTAGAAAATTTAAAAACATAAACTATCATACTAAAATAATATTACCGGACGAAGTTTCCGCGTTAATTAAAAAAAATTGAGATATTTGTGTTCCGGCTAGGAGTCACAAGTGTTGAAGTGCTAAATTCGAATACATACAACGCTTGAAACACCGGGGCAATGATTCTCGAGAAAATACGAAGAGGTCGATACGTCGCTGAAAGTGAAAAGGCGATTAGGGGATAGGTGAGAGAGGCCAGGGGGGCGAGTGGAGAGAGAAAGCGAAGGTACGCAGCGCGCGCGAGATCGCAGCGGCGCATCGGTGGTGGCGATAGCTGTTACACTTGAAATTGCTCTCTCGCTTCTCTCTCTCTCTTTCTCTTTCTCTCGGATGGCGCGCGTAAAAATCGCATCGCGATCGGCTCTCTCGGCGAGACGCTCGCGCGCGCGATCGGGCGCGGGCAACCAACCCAGGCAAATGTCAGGTCGTGACTTTCATGCGGTCTACCACCTGCCATGGGATCGGTAAGTGCGTCGTTATTAATGGCGTCCCGATCCGATCGCATCCGGAATAGGCGTAGGTCTACGACGATGCCTCGATATTGCCTCGCTCCGCCGCTCTTCTCGCTGCGGGCATTCGATCGTTGTTTGCTCGTCGCGTACATGCTGCTCGGATGGACCGAGTTTATTCAAGAGCGTTTCTCGCAGATCTCAAGGATGGTCGCACGGAGGTGCGAGCGGCTGGAAGCGACGCACTTTTGCAAATATCGCGTTGCTGTTACGAGCTGTTCCGATACAAGCGTTTGCCGCAATTGTATTTCACAAAGCAGCTGGAATCTAGCGTATTGTGTACTCATTTCATGCTGCGATTGCCACTTTTACAACCTACGTGTTACACTTACGTGTATCGCTCGCTACAGAATTATTATCCTTCTTTCAGCCATTCGTAGTTGTAGTCGTTTTATTCATGGCTCAAACGCGTTGCTCAGTTTTTCCGAGAACTTTTCGAAACGCCGATAGTGACGCAAGGTTCGAGAAATCAAGGGCTGCGCGAACGCGTCGGCGGCACGCTAGCAGCCAATGTGACACGTTTCGGTGTGGTAATACAGTTGCCTCGATTACGCCGAGTAATCATATCGACTCCTACGCGACGCAATTGACCTGCCCGGGATTACGCGATCGCGCATTACCGCGCCGATTCGACGACGAATGGATGCGAGATCATCTGTCGATCTTTTTTACGGTGTGAACATATTCCGTTCGTTACGTAAGTGGAGCGTGGGAAAGTGAATTATTTATTACACACTGTGCGTTTGCAAAGTTCAATACGAATACTATTATCGTGCTTATTGAAGCACGCGTTTCATGCGCAATCGTGCTCCGCTTGAGTTCGAACTCATTATAAAGAATAGAGGAGCCTTTTAGATCGTAATAACGGATACGTCAGGCATCCTACGGAGTACTTCCGTCTTCATTTCGCTCTCAGTCTGAATGAAGTCCGCAAAATGAAACGATATGCCCATCTGACTTGGAAAATTTATCGTAAACGTTTAAAATTTGAGAGTCTCTTCGCCCGCTCGTCGTGTCTCTTTTTCGTGTTGTTCCCGCGAGCCATACGCCAGCTCGACTCGATCCAAAAAAGGACTGCCCGTTCTCTCGTAAATCGAGAACATCGCGGAATCTTCGGCCCGAGGCCAAATTCGTCGTACGTACGTACACTCGCACCGAATCGCCTGAATGCGCTCGCGTGATATATCGATGACACGAGCGTGGGTGTACCGGAAAATCGATCTGGCCACGACGAAAGGGAAGGAGAGACGAGAAGGGAGGGAAACATACTTAATTAAACAAAAC